GGGGTTCTCTTTTGCACTGAATTTTTGGAAAAAAAATTCAGTGCAAAAGAGAAAACCCCCCAAAGAAGCCTAAAAACACACTAAAAATACCCCCAAAACCCAAACCTCTGCTTGGAGAGTAAGCCAAAAGGTCACTTGGTGTCATTGGACTTTGATATTTAAAGGTACAAAAACAGGTTCGAGCACATTTGCATACACAAGTGGCTGACCTTGTAGTGAGTGATTCTTAGTTACAAGCATTCTGATTGGTGCTGTATATCTACATAGTACACAGCTTGTCATTGGTCTTCCTAACATAATTAAAGTTCTGTGCATTCAGGTAGCCTGGTTACTAGACCTATTATACTACTATGGCTCCCGAGCTGAGTCCTACATATTTTCTGCAAATTGGGAGCTACAATAGGTCTGGTAACCAGGCTATATGCTGGAGAAATGTTAGCATGCATCAATTGGCCATGTTTTAACACGTTTTGAAGCAAAGATTACACATTAGATATCTTTTCTATTTAGAAATATGGAGGTTGAGTTATAATCATTTTAAGTTTCAACCTCCATATTTTTAAATAGAAAAGGTAAATCATACAATTTATTAAAGTATGAAACAAGAGATGTCCACAGATTAACTGAACCAAATATTAAGATTTAAACGTGATCACCAGAAAGAAATTACTAGTATAGGGTGGGGGGAGGGGCAAATAACACATTTTCAAATTATTATCACACAAAAATATTTCATTCCCTTCAAAATTTCTCTCCTTTCCAAAGATTATACTTCCATTCAATCTGTACAAGGCGATGCTCAGTCTATAATTTGTCTAAAAAACAACTTGTTTATGTGCTAAACTTGCTGACTCAGGCACAGCTTGCAAGAAAACAACCACTGTTCAAATATACAAGATCTTTTCCCCAAGCTTTTCTTCAAAATCAACATCGAAGCATAGTTTGGAGTCCACGTTGTTCTAAGGACTATACTTACCTTACTAGTTTCTTCTTGGCTGTGAAATAATATTTCTTCTCACAAACACACGCCACGAGACCGAGATTTGAAGCTACGTGGCGATTTTGGCTGATAACAAATTCAGATCAAATTGATCTTTGACCGAACGCAGCAGCTTGACTAGTAAACAACAGCGAGCAGAGAAATTTAAAAGACTTTTGAACTCCGGCCTCTAGCGAAGTGTCAGGGTGCTACGATAAAGGTGTTTACATAAACTCAAAGTTTAACATATCATAGATATTATGGCACCTTTCTTTTGAGTGATAAAAGTCAACTTTTGAAGGAAAGGAGCAGCTAAGATCTTGAGGAATTCGCGCTAAGAACACATCATCATCATCGAGATCACGTCACGGTCAGCAAACTATCGCGAGAGTTCGATGCACAGCACGCAAACGCTCAAAACATTACAAATGTTTAGAAAGAATTATGAAAACTAAAAGGGCTTATGTCACAAATCAGGAATATGTAAGATATAAACAATTTTGTTTATTGATCAATAAATATGTATAATTGCTATTCTACATATGACTAGGATTTTTTAATGATTTTACATTCGAATGCGTTCTTGTACTTCCTCAAAATCCGGAAGCAGGAAATGACCTCTGCTGACCTTTTGAGAGATCGCGAAGAGCAAAAAGCAAACCATTTTCGAGGCAAACCTCTCAAGCAAAAACGCTCTCCAGACATGACAGAACAGCCGGCAGAGAAGATCAAGCCGCACTTCTACCGTGTGGAGCTGAATCGGACGATATGGGAGATCCCAGAGCGCTATCAGATGCTCACACCGATCGGGTCCGGGGCGTACGGCCAGGTTTGGTAAGTCTGTCTGTTCCCGCCCAGCCGCATAATTCTCTGTACTAATACACACCTTTCCGGAAGTTCTCGGTTTTAGCACCAGATTTTAGGGTCTTTTACGCGCGATTTTCCTCGTGAATTTGTTTTCTAGATTTGTCAGATGGTGCTAAATACTGTCAAGGAATACAATTGGCTTAAATGTAAAGTCATATTGTGTGATTTTCTACGTATCTTACTGGATGACACTGGACAGTCTGACTGCAATTCCTTATAAAATTTGTATTTCTTAATGAGTATCCTAATGTTCAATTATAATGTTAAATGTGCAGGATTCATATATTGATGCCTGAATTTTGCAATTGGTAAAAGTGGGTCAAATTAGATTTATTTTATGGATGACATCATCTGTATACTAGTATACTAAAGTTGATCAGAATTTGCTGTGGACAAATTTTGCAATGATTTTTATGAATATGGTGAGCCATAGAGTAAGCCAAAGGCTGACATGGGCGAAATTAGGAAGCCAACAAGGATTGTGCACTTTTTGAAAGATCTGTATAATCGGTATAACCATCCTTCGGCATAACACACCAGCTTCGCAGGCACGCGGCGTGGCGGCAGCTGGCTACATTACACCAAACAACTTGTTACTAGTACACCCAACCCTTGAACATCTAACTCTAAACATTGTTTAAAGCTATCATATGGTCTCTGATTTCTTGTTCCTGTTCACAGTTCTGCGTTTGACCAGCAGTTGGGGCACAAGGTGGCGATTAAGAAGCTTGCCAGACCGTTCCAGTCAGAAATCCACGCCAAACGCAGCTACCGAGAACTCAGGCTCCTCAAGCACATGGAACACGAAAATGTGCGTAGGTCCAACTCATCAGAATTTGACGTCTGATGTGTTAGGGGTTACTTAGTACATTGGCAGAACGTACTGCACCTGTGCGAATCCCTTGATTATTTTTCACGGTTTTCGTTGGATTTTTGGTCAATTTCGCCTGTTTTGACATAACATTTGGAAACAATAGATGGAGTGTTAACCTTACATACGTGAATACAAACTTATATAATGTAAGCTTGAAAAGCTCCTTGGTAAAAGTAACCTAATTCCTGGAATTTCGGCTGACTGATAGAGTCACTTCCTCCAGGAAACATGTTGCAGGTGAACTTGTTACATGTAGGTCATGTGTACTGTCATGGATCATTGTATATGGTACTGAACCATCATGCATTCAAGGCCCAAATTGTTGGATGTTAGGTGATGATAAAAGCCATTTCTTCACCTGATACTTTTATGTAGTACATGGCCATGGGTAAAACTAAAACTTAAATCTACCATATCACATAAATTGCTTACACGTATGTTGCAGTGCTGAATGTGTTATAACTTTTATGTGACATGGAATTTTTTTGTCAGGAATACAGGACTGCATGTAGTTCAACACATAAAATATAGTAGACATCTTTTGGCCATACAGTAGGTAAATTCTATGATAAGATGATAAACATATATTTATTATATATTAAAAGGGAATTATAGTCAATATTTTGGATACAGAATATTTGTAGTTCACAGAATTTTGAGGCAATTTATGGTAAGGCCATAAATTATTGATTTGCTTGAGCATTGTTTCCTTTATGTACCTGTCTGTCTATCTATTATTAAGTTTCTAATTAATTGTCTGCCTGTCTTGTTGTTCTCCAGGTGATTGGACTGCTGAATGTGATGACCCCTACTCTGACCTTCGAGGATTTCCAGGACGTGTGAGTATCATATTTCACAATTTGTGAATATTATCAAGCACTCTGTAAAAGATGCTGCTCTAGGCAAAAGCCATTAAGATTATATAGTACTACAAACATGTGTATTTGAATGCATGAAGTTTGAAAGTGCATCTTGAACCTTGAACAGGTACATTAGGGATGTAAAAAAAAGTACATCTTATAATGATTTTAATGCTTTGTTTTTTTATCTAGAAAAATACATTAACCGGTATCAAAAGAGCACAACTGATATCATGTGTGTAACATTATGGAAAGACATTTGCTTCATGACTAAGGTTCAGATGCATATAAGGTGTAGCAATTGGTGACTCTAAACTTCTCCATATGGATGGCAAATTCTGTGGATTCAGGGGTCAAGGGATCTAATCCCATTTGGGTATCGACTGTCAGAGAGACCATAAGTTTACGTGGGGGTCACAAGCCTTTGGTCCGTGTATGGGGGGGGGGTCTCTTTTTTTAACATCTACAAATGTATGTACTTGAAGCATTTAGCAGTTTTGTGCTTAGGAAAGAATTAACTTCACATTTAAGTCTCTTTCTGTCAATCAATAAATAAATCTCTGTCTGATGCATGTAAAAGTTACAACCCAACACAAGTAAACTATTGAGCTGTCTAAATCATTGAACTGTTACACATGAACCATTATTATGACCAATGTAGGTCCGTAAGCTTGTGACGCCCCTGATGGGTGCAGATCTGAACAACATGCACAGACGAATTAGCCCTGATTGGTCCATTATTCCTGGTACTTGTCCCTGATTGGTCCAAATCCCTGACATGCTTGTGTACTTGTCCCTGATTGGTCCATGTGTAGGTACCTGGTGACGCCCCTGATGGGAGCAGACCTGAACAACATCGTGAAGTGTCAGAAGCTCACAGACGACCATGTCCAGTTCCTGGTGTACCAGGTGCTCAGGGGACTCAAGGTGAGTCTGCAGAACTTTCTTAGACCCTCAGAAACATTCCTTAAGGAGTTATTTTAAAATGTACTTGTTTGAGTAACAGTTTTCTTGTGTCTCGTTACCTTGATGTCTAACCTTCATCAATGATTTATTTTGTTCTTTTCTAGTTATAGAATTTTGTTACTGCCATATCAATTTCTTTGTTAGATGTACCAGGGTAAATGTTCTTTTTGCACTTTAATTTCATATCACTTAGGCCTGGGCAAGAGTTAAATACTATAGGCAGGTGTTTTATGCTGATTGTCACTCACCTTTTTAAGTTGTCATCCCAGAAAACATCTTGGTGGAAAATTCTGTATAAATGTTTCACAAGTTTATGAATTCATGTTATTTCTTCACAGTATATCCACTCAGCAGGGATCATTCACAGAGTAAGTCCTTCCAGAATTTATGTTTTAGATTTTAAGACTGCAATACTTTAAGCCTGGTATTATAATGATCATTTCCAGCATAAATCTGCTTTTAACAGTGTATAAAATCAAGATGTTATTTATGACAGAAATATGCTTGAAGTAAGAGTTGACATTGATGTTTTCTCCAGGATTTGAAGCCCAGTAACATCGCTGTTAATGAGGACTGTGAGTTGAAGGTAAGAACGATTCACTCTTCACAAATTCTCTGCTGAAGTCTAGAGACTGCTGATCAATCTCTACAGTTCAAGTCCAGATATCACAATAGGCGAGAACACAATTCACACAAGTGCAAACAAGTGCAAATAATTGTCACCTCAATTCTTTACTCCCAATTTTTCAGAGATTAAAATTTTTACCTGTACCCAGGCTACAGATCTCAGTCTGGATTCCTGGTTTTTGTTGTTACATTCAACCTCTGCATACTAGTATCTAACTGCAGGGATCTGGTGATGATGCCCCTACTGTGCTTGGTGGTGGCAAGTTCCACTGTATGATTGTTCCAGGAAAATAAAGTTTTGTTAAAAGTAACATTTTACTATGGTTGTGTTTCCTCGTGCCTCCCCCACGATTCTGGACTTCGGTCTGGCCAGGCTTGCGGACGATGCGATGACGGGCTACGTGGCCACGAGATGGTACAGAGCGCCGGAGATCATGCTCAACTGGATGCACTACAATAAAACAGGTGTGTGTGGGGGGGGGGGGTACGGGGCATATAGTGTAATTGCACAAATAGATATCATAATCTGGTTTTGATCGATGTCCGAATGGGCTACTGTAAATGCGGAAACTTTTGCGGTGGTTTCATTTTCGCTGTGACCTCTCCACTGTGACACCATGAAAATGTACACGTCTCCCTTCTATTACTTCTGTACTGCAGAATTGTTACAACTGCAAATTTAAGACGCTTTGAAAACCACATTTCCCTCTTACCTCAAAATTAAACCAGTTACAGTTTGATTGACAGTTATGTACAGTTTGATTGACAGTTACAGTTTGATTGACAGTTATGTACAGTTTGATTGACATCTCCCCCTGATGCCTGCTGTGTTTGTGTTGCCTGTACAGTTGACATCTGGTCGGTGGGCTGCATCATGGCTGAACTGCTGACTGGGAGAACTCTCTTCCCCGGAAAAGATCGTATCCTTGGCAACAGACAGAACGTATAGTTTCTAGCTCAACAGGACAAGTGTTATATACACTATTAACAAACGTGTTATATTTTCTGAGTGGTAGAGGGGTGTAACAATGTTAAAAGCTGTGAATAGCTTTATGTCATTGGAAAATAGAATCCTTTCTTTCACAACCTATGTTTAAAAGGTGCGAAATTTTTTGTCAAGGTGTAATACTATTGCTTGTCACAAGGTGGCGCTGTGAAGGGAAGAGTTCTGTTTTCCAGTGTTATGTGTTTGTTGAATGTAAAACCTTTGCCAGCACCACCCACCATTCAATTCACTTCACCTAGAGATAACGTCATTATATATCATATAGGGACATCATTATTAGATACCGATTAAACAATGTTTAGAGTTAGATGTTTAAAAGTTAGGTGTAACAAGTCATTTGATGTAATGTAGCCAGCTGCCACCGCGCCGCGTGCCTGCAAAGCTATTGTGTTACGCTGAAGGGCGGTTATACCAGATATACAGATACAGATACAGACACTAAGACAGTGGATGCAGCTATTTGCAGTTTAGGGCATCAAAGCTCAAGCCTTAAATTAAATGCAGACTTTCTTTATTTCTTTTCTGTTGTTTTGTTTTCTGCGGCATGCATGACGCCATTTCATAATCATATAGGCCATTCTATGTATCCCTTAGCATGCTGGGAAACATGGAGGATTCTGGGTAATACAGGGGCAAGCCAGTCCTTGTCACACTTGCCCCTTTGCTACCCAGAATCCTTCATTTTTCCCAGGTGTCCATTCGATGTTCCTTTTGTGCTGCCAGTTTTTGCGTTCTTTTTCCTTTACCTTTTTCCAAAAAGATATTGATCAGTTGAAGAGAATCATGGAGCTGGTGGGAACGCCTGACCAAGAATTCCTGCAAAAAATCAGCTCCGACTCTGTAAGTACTTTTTCTGTGCATGTTTGTGTTTTCTTCTTCTTTTGTTGTTGTGCATTGAGTCAGTTACTTTAGTATGCTATGAGTTTAACTTTTGCTTCATCTGCTTTGCTTAGAATTTATGTTAATAATATGTTCTTGCAAGGAAATATGAGCTTGTGTGGACTGCATGACTGCTGCATCTTGGTTTTGTCAGCTTGTAGACATTTTCTTTCACAACTGTGTCACAAAGTGTACATTGTACATGTACATGTTAAAGTCATTCAGCTGGTATTTAATTTGTAACCCAGTAAAAACAAGTGGGAGTTCAAATATTTGACACTTTTTTTTCTGGGAACAACATCATTTTAGAATTTTGAGTATCAAAATGTGAAAAATCTATGATACATTTTGTACTAGTTTTCAATATAAGACAAACCTGAGAGCCAAGAAATAAACTATTAAACTGTTGTGGCTTCAGAAAAAAATAAAGGCAAAAAAGCATTTTATTCTGCAAGAGACAGCTGCTTGGCATTTTTTTTCCAGTAAATCCTGTGCTTAGCTGTCTTCTAGCTATACATGTATCTGAAGTTACATGTATGTATAAGTACATAAGTTATAAATGCCCCCCTCCCACTCCTATGAGAATGTTAAAGCCGGGTGTTCTGTGTTTCCCCCAGACTCTTCCGGAGTTTGTATCTTCGGTGAGTGACTCAGGTTACATGTACATGTACGTGTGTGGCTCGTGATGTTCAGTGCTAATCTCCAAGCAGATTTTTCGGTGGCCCCAAAAGAAAGTTGGCCAGGCAGAATCCATTGGCCGCCGGAGCAGCTAAGGCCTAGGAAAAAAAATGTGTTTCCTGTTTCCCGACTGACCATAGAAAAAACTGCCCACCCTAGCCTTTTTTTTTGTGGACTCCTGCAAGGGAAATACAACTTTTTCAGGACTGAAACAGGAAACACAACATTTTTTTCCTAGGCCTCCTCTGGCCAATGAATACTGCCTGGCCACCGTAGGATCTGCTTGGAAATTAGTTCAGTGCTGCGCTGTACATGTATGATATACATGTAGCTCTCTGGGAATGGGAAAAATGCGCCGTTTTGTTAACTTGAAATAATTCCATAAGGTATTTGGCTTTCATTGTTCCATTCCCAAATGTAGCTTTTTTGTCACTTGCAGAAACTGAAATAAGTCGTTTCACAGTTCCAAATGTGCATAGTGGCTTAGGTCAAATTAAAAGTCCCTTACTTATAAGTAATACTATAATGATCTACCATGATGTATTTTGGATCACCATGTGTACAAATTTGTATACATCTACATGTATATGTATATTTGACTAGCCTTTGGTGGTGTATTTGTAGCTTGTATGTCATACTTGCAACAACAATATGCTTCATGTAGCTACAAAGGTTTAGTTCACTGCTATTTGAGGGTTTGACATTTCCTTAATGGAGAAGAAATTGACCAGTTGAACCGAATCATGACCCTGACGGGCACACCTACCGACGACTTTGTAGAGAAGATCATTTCTCAGGAGGTGAGGCTGAGAAAAGTGGGATTTTAATGATGTAATTTAACTTTTTTTTCTATTTAAGGCCACACCCGTCCTAATTTTATGGATGACATCCATGCGTGCATTGATTTTGGCCTGGCCTCAAAAACTGTTGAATACGTCGCTATGTACTGCCTCAATTTCACAATACCAGCTTTGTTTTAATGTGGTTTAGCAGCATTTTAATTTTTTGCCGGAATGTTTTTTATTCGCCCGCGCGCACTAGTTTGTGGGTCTTCAGAGGATGTCATCCATAAAATTAAGCCGGTGTGGCCTTAGTTCATCATAAGATTGGAACTCATTGCCATATTCAACCACCCAGATACCAGAGCTGGCTTATTCAGAGGAGGTCTCCCAAAAGCTGAGCAACCATCAGAAATGTCATGAAAGTTTATCAGTTTTGGTAGTTACATGTTTAAAGTTATTACTTCTGATCCAACACAAAGAAGTTCTCTCACCTAGAGCTTTCGACCAGTCACCCTGGTCTTCCTCTGTAGACTGACCCAGTGAGGCTTGTCACGTGGCTACTTTGAAGTGTGACGTCAACACTGGGTCAAAGGTATTTTGTAGACGATGTCGGCCCCCGTCACGGTTGAGTGAAGGGTGATGGGCCCTGATGTAAATAGCCTCCTTCACCCCTCACAGGAGTACCATACCCTGGGTGCAGCTTACCCCAACTATAGAGGGATTACAGTGTTCTCACCAGGTCTTCTGAGCATAGGGGCCCCCTATGCTGTGACTCGGGACCCTATGCTGTCTTTCAAGCAGCATAGGGGTGTTTTTTTGGGAGAACCTTCATAAATCTTGCCCCCAAAAAATGAAAATATAACTTTAGAATTAAGCTAATGAAATAAAAGCAATCCTTAACTTCATACAATGTCTCCCTCAATAAGTGAGAAATAGTGTCTCAGGGGGTTATGAGATTCAAATTTTCGGCACAATATGCAACTTGCACCGCAAAAGTTGCCCTTCTGTACCTGACCCCTGTGGTACAGAAAAAATCCTAGTGAAAACCCTGGATTATGCAAAATCAGAATCTCTGATTTGTTATGTTTACCGAAGGAAAACATATTGTTTTTGCTCAGTTTCTTCTTCCTCTTCTTAAGCTTCTTCTCCAAACAGTGACCTCAATGACCTGAGCCAATGTTGTGTCTGTTACTATGGTAACTGGTGTTGGGTTACATCATGTTGCAATTTCAAAGCAGGAGGGATATAGACTCCTGTCTGACCATATACTAGTATACGAGTAGACCATAATGTGAAGGTAAACATTATGCATTTGCCTTGTTTTTTTCTTCTTCCTGTGTTCTGCAGGCGCGAAGCTACGTGGAGTCCCTCCCCAAGCAGTTGAAGAAGGACTTCAAGGGGTACTTCTGCGGAGCGAACCCGGACGGTGAGCGCAGAAGGAATCATGGCCCCATACCCGACCTGGGTGAAGACAACTAATCATGCAAACCATTGGCAGTGCTAGGCCGTCCTGTCTGCTTGTCACTGTTGCTTGCACGACTAGTTGCTTTGTTTTGAGATTAAGGACTGCTTAAAGTCGTTTTAATTTCACTCACAACAGTTTAATGCTTATGAAAATTGGCCTCACATGTTAAAACTCACCACCTCTTGTCCTTGGCTCTCTTATGATTGTGAATTAAAACTAATATGGTAAAGTTTGTGTCACTTTGCAACAACCTTTAATTTGGTTGACTCTGGCTTTCTAGTGACTCATACTTCAATAACTGAGATTTCTTTGTGTCTTTGATTTATCGTTGATAGATTCATTCATTCATTCGATCACACTTGAGAACCAGGAACAGAAGGTGGCATGCTTTAGAACAGTTGCTTCACCCTCCCCTTAGACGTGGTTTGGCTTTTGATGTGGGCTAGTATGATATTCATGATTAGTAATTATGATATTTGACATAAGGGTAAGGATAAGGGTAGTAGAGAGTGCGATCTGGCCAAATCAACAATTGACCACAATTGTAAGAAATCATGATCGGAGTCTAATCTGAATTAAAAATGGCCCCCTCCCACCAGCTGGCCCTCACACCAGCACACCAATATTACCATGCACTAACCCTACTTTTTCATCTTCAGCTGTTGACCTGTTGGACAAGATGCTGATTCTGGACACAGACAAGCGGCTAACAGCTGAGCAGGCCCTGGAACACCCGTACATGCGACAGTACCACGACCCCACCGATGAACCAACAGCCGCACCGTACGACGATTCGTTCGAGAAGATGGAACTCAACGTGGCCGAGTGGAGAAGTAAGTAACTTGGAAGGTAAAATGTGCAAAGCATGGGTACATTCTAGCCTAACAAACTACTGCTCTGTTTAGTCAGTCAATACAGGTAGCGTGCGTAGTCCAGTGGTTAGCGATCCTGCCTCTGGACTAAGAGGTTGGGAGTTCGAATCCCGGCTGTTATCGCTCACCCGACATGCACACTACTGTTTAGGGTCGCAGTCCTTAGGACGGGACGTTAAGCCGTGGTCCACTGTTCATTGTGCTTGTCGAAAAGAGCTAGGGGAATTTCCCCAGTACACTGAACCTGTAAATACTGTACATGGCGTCTGTCTTCTCTGTTACAACCAGTGGGAGATTAGCTCTTCAATGAGCTAAACTGGCTCGAGATCACTTCCACCTTCACAGGGTATTTTCACTCCTATGTAGGAACCCCTGCTCTGTTTATTCTTACTCAGACAAATTCATACATATGGTGACCAGCCTCTCCAACTCTGTTCTGCCACTTGCTACATAATGTAACCCAACACCACAGGGTGCCTGCTATAGCACCAGTTACCATGGTGACAGCCATCTAGCCCAGGCCATTGACCTTATGTGACAAGGAGAAGAAACAGAGCAATAAAAAAATGTTTTTGTTTCTGCAAAGGTAAAGTTAACATAAATAGAGGGGGACAGACTATTCTAGATTGCTAGAGCTAGAATAGGTTGCATTTCAGAATACCAATTCTCTGCTTGCCATCATGATGCCTTCTCTGTTCCAGAGCTGATGTATGAGGAGGTTGAAGGGCCAGGCAGAGCGGCGGGGGGAGAGGGGCTGGGGCCCGAGGCCATGGAGCAGTGACTCACAACAAACAAACAAACATCTCAACTCAAGAAATATCATCTCTTAACAGACTTCTAAAGTTTCTCTACCAAAGCCCAGGTCACATAGCCTGGTTACCAAGCCTATTTTAGCTGCCAAAAATCTACCAAACCTATAGTAAGTCTTTTGCCTGCAACGCAGATAGCGGAGAGGACAAAAGAGACTTGGAAGCTAAAAGAAGTTTGGTAACCAGGTAACATCGAGAAGCTTAGAAATCAAGATTTTTAAGCTCATTGGACACATACACTGTATAATGCATGTACAGTGATTTTTTTTCTGCAACAAAATCACCGTATGTCATAGGTTTGAGAAGAAACAGGTACATGAGTTTCATTTTTAAAGGACTCCACCCTTTTCTTCTCAAAATCTATGACATATGATATAATTGTAGAAAAACCGCCATGGTAGGTGCAATTTACAATGTAGGTGCCTGGGGTTAAGTCTGTATTATCCAGCTTTTTTGTCTAAATCAATCGGATGTGTCTTAATGATATTGGTTCAGATTTGTGTTACTCTAAGGATTATGATTTCATCATTTATTACTGGACCAGGTTTGGTCTTCTTCATTTTGCATATCCTGAGATGGTTGTCCCAATTTACGCAAGGGAAAAACCCTGAGATATGAAAACTGTGTAAGGCCACACTGACTTAGTTTTATGGATGACATCCTCTGAAGACCCCCAAACTAGTGCGCGTGGGCAAATAAAAAAAAATCCGGCCAAAAATAAAACTGCCACTAAACCACAGGAATGCAAAGCTGGTATTGGGAATTAGCGGCAGTACCCGGCTCTGCATTGTCACTAACTACCATGGAGTACCCAGGCCAGAGCCTCGGTGGACGTGATCTTTTTTTTTTTTTTTGAGAACAGGCGAAAATCAATGCGTGCACGGATGTCATCCATAAAATTAAGGCGGTGTGGCCTAAGTTAATTTTTTTTTCTGCATGTAATAGATCCCTCATAATGTCAACTACTATATTATACACTGTTAGTTGGAGACAGATTTGATGAGTTGATTATTACTTTTTAAACCATACCCAAATAACCCGGGCCGTTGTTTTGTAACTGTCAAGTACGAATTTTCTTACCGTATAGCCTTAGTAATATATCACCTTTGATCCTTGTTGAAAATTTACATATACGTACTTCAGGATTGAACACGAAGATGGCAAAATGTATATATTACAGCAGAGTCAGTAATAGAAATAGTCATTACAGAAAAACTACCAAGTACAATCATTGCAGGTGGCAAACTAGTTCTACATTTTAATCCATTGTACGAATCATGATTGTTCAACTTTTGTACCGGCACTATGTATTTCCCACCTAAGTTAAACAACAAATGTACTTGTAGCCTGTTATCCCCAAATTGAACTATGTAAATTATGAACCTTCGCATGCATGTCATTATTAGCTGGTGTCTTAAGCCGAAGGGCAGTTATACCGGCTATAGAGATACAGATCAGTAAATCTGATAGAAAATTTTACTTTCAAAATGTTTGAAGCATGCTTAGCACAAATGCAAAATCATTCAATGGTAAATACATTGTATATCCCAAGTCAACATATACAAAATCATATATTAAGCACATTACTGTTGTAAATACTAAGTAAATATGACTACTAGGAATCATATGCTGTTTTGATTGAGAACACTGAAATTGGTCTTAAATGACATGGGGATAGCTGTGGGACTTGTTCCAGTTAGGGCCTGGTCACATACATGTATGTGGTGCAAATGTTGATAAGTTTATGCCTATGTCAAATTATGAGGGTAATTTCTTTGGACAGTAGGGAATGTAGTGGGAATGTTTGGACAGTAGTGGTACAAAAAATGTAGGTACTACAGAAAACGGTGGCATCTTTCTCGAACTGAAACAGAATTTAACGCTCATAATACGGATTATGAATAAAATGACAAACAAGTATGTGATGTTAATATTTATCTAACTAACTTTTGCATGATATATGTTTAATATACATGTAGTCTGTACTTTCAGCTCACTGATTTTACTAGAAAAGCATAAGCCGGTTTACCATTCGAACTGCAAATGTACAAAAGTCAAAAGTGCGGGCCCCTGACTTGTAAACAGTGAGTTCTTGACTAGCCCATGCCTGATACATGTCTAGAGGTGGTTTGTTTTGTCTCAAGGGCTTTCAATTGTGACATACAGACTATTCCCTTCAGTACACCATCCCATGCTTACGCAGTTCGAATCGTGATCTGGCTTATTTCCTAGGGCCTGTTAGGAAATTTGCCTTATAATTAGTCTCAAGTTTAGTCCATATAGACTTGGACTAGCCATCTATAGCAACTACTGGACAACAAGAGTTTATAATTATATAGCATCTAGTGTCTATGAAAACTTTTATATTTGTAGATTGTAGCTGTGCGAGAATACAAATTAGTTGTTTTTTCAGTCAAGGTGAAGTAAGTGATTTGTATGTTAGAAAGATTGCTTTTTTGTACAGAGAGTGAATCATAATTGTATCAAAGATGGAGCATATCTTTGGGTAGAGTAGAGTAGACACTTGTCAAAGTTTTGTAGAAAAGTAAGTGAATACAAGCAGCCCCTTGGTGAATATGACAGTGTAAATGTAAATTGTTATGAACATTACATGAAAATAAATCTTATTGGTGCATACTCTGTGTGAACTTGAATGTTTTGAATCAGTTTCAAACTTTGTTGTTTGAGCTCTTCCCTTTATTGTTTGGTAAGGCCATGTTGATTTGATTATATGGATGACATCCTCTGGGAACCCCAAAATTGATGCGAGTGTGCGAATGGAAAATGTGTAATGTGGCCAACTGCCGCCGCGCCGCGTGCTTGCGAAGCAGGTGTGTTACGCCGAATGGCGGTTATACCGGCTATACTGATACAAGGCAGATAACGTAAGGCTCATTTTGTGTTGATAAAAAAAAAAGTACAATTGTTACGTGACGCAGAAATCCCGTGTCTGAGGAGCAAGTGAAAGATCACGACGCACTTATCACCGTTTAAATCTTACAGCCTGGTCTCAGGGTTGACGTCTTGAAAACGTGAGTATCGCCTGTTAAGCCAATTCTTCCACCTAAGATCACCTAAGTGACAAGCCTCCAAAACTAATAGGTTCGATTGAACTGCATGCGTCAAGAGCCCGGGAGGGCCTTGAAAACACGTATGAGAGAAGCGCATGCGTGTTTGATCCCATTAGGGCACACATGAACTATCTTGAACCAACTATAATTATGCAAAACTAGCCTCCACCAGGCCTTTCAACGGCTCGTAGAATTCGGAAAAAAAGAGAGTAAAATTGGCCAAGGAAGTCCGGCCGCGGGGAAGTAGCTAGTTTCTTAAGCTCCGAAGCGGCCAGTCAAACCTACAAGGTGGCCAAACTCCCCTGGTAAATATTCTCCTATATACTAGTATAGCCAGCGTAGTTAGTCTGGTAGAGACTACATCATAATTATATGCAGAACTATCTTTGCCACGTCTCCTGTTTACTCCAACAGCAGCTGCGTCTGACGAGCCGAATTTTCCTCTCCGCAAGAAAGTCGCAAAGCTGCATGCGTCGTTCTTGGCTTCCATACTGTGCTCGGTTGGAAAAAGTAAGTATTCTTTATTCTTTTCTTTATTCAAAACAGTAGTCAGCAGTACATTAAAAATTATGGACCGCTGAATTGTGCTGACCTTACATAGTACATGAAAATACGATGTAGGTACGAACAGAACATACAGATACACGACAATTACAATATGTGTAAGTAGCGTTCATGTTGCTATAATGGATTTGCAGTAGATATAACTGGATGGAACAGTAGCTATAACTGTTTCCACCATTTTTTTATTGAAACATATAGTGACAAGACGCGGTGGCGACACACTCAAGTTACACTTATATTCATGTCGCCACCAGACAATACGTAATACATACGACAAGCAAAGCACGAATTGACATATGGAAATTGAATACAATAGTTAATCAATGAACAAGTGAAACAGATATACTGACAGGATTGATCAAGATATTACAAAAAACGATAGGATTCTAGCAAGAATATCTGTACATGTTGTAATATTTGAATATTGTACATTGTTGAGAGAAAAGAAGAACCTCTTAAAAGTAAATGTACCAGAATATCATCTGAAAGATCATTTGTTTGTTTGTTTGTTTGTTTGTTTCGCTTAACCGGTAAACCGCCTTAAGGCGTAACACCAGTTTTGTACATGTGCGCACATATACAAGCTGCGTAAGACCGGACTGTGAGGTTTTGAACCACTCACACCGGGAAGATCCCCTACTCTTTTCGACCTCCATTTAACGTCCTATCCGAGGGACATCCCTAGCCCTAGCTAGGTACTCATTTCCACCTGAGTAAAGTGAGGAAAGTCGTGTAAAGTGCCTTTCCCAAGGGCACAAGATCGGTGACATGAGCAGGGTTCGAACCCTGGACCTCTGGGGTGTGAGACGAACGCGCTACCGACTGCGCCACAATGACTTCATTTCCACCATTGTGTCATGTACTGTCTACAGCACAGTTGATTCGCGATTCTTTGAAGGTACCCAAAGCAATTTCAGGGCACAAAACTGGATTTCACAGTCAATTTTCTGGTCATTTTTTCATGTAGTTGAAAACACGTATGAGAGAAGCGCGTACGTGTTTGATTCCATTTAGGGCGCACATGAACCATCTTGAACCCAACATATTTGGGCAGAACTATCCTCCACTAGGCCTTTCTACGGGAGTACGGATCGCAGAATTCGGCAAAAACGAGAGTAAAATTGTCCAAGGAAGTCCGGCCGCGGGGAGGTAGTTTTTCCCTCACTACGCGGCCAGTCAAACCTACAAGGCGGCCAAACTCCCCTGGTAAATATTCTCCTATATACTAGTATAGCCAGCGTAGTTAGTGTGGTAGAGACTACATCATAATTATGCAGAATCATCTTGAACCCAACATATTTGGGCAGAACTATCTTTGCCACGTCTCCTGTTTACTCCAACAGCAGCTGCGTCAGACGAGCCGAATTTTCCTCTCCGCAAGAAAGTCGCAAAGCTGCATGCGTCGTTCTTGGCTTCCATACTGTGCTCGGTTGGAAAAAGTAAGTATTCTTTATTCTTTTCTTTATTCAAAACAGTAGTCAGCAGTACATTAAAAATTATGGACCGCTGAATTGTGCTGACCTTACATAGTACATGAAAATACGATGTAGGTACGAACAGAACATAGAGGTACACGACAATTACAATATGTGTAAGTAGCGTTCATGTTGCTATAATAGATTTGCAGTAGATATAACTGGATGGAACAGTAGCTATAACTGTTTCCACCATTTTTTTATTGAAACGTATAGTGACAAGACGTGGTGGCGACACACTCAAGTTACACTTATGTCGCCACCAGACAATACGTAATACATACGACAAGCAAAGCACGAATTGACATATGGAAATTGAATACAATAGTTAATTAATGAACAAGTGAAACAGAATATATAAATGCTGACAGGATTGATCAAGATATTACAAAAAACGATCGGATTCTAGCAAGAATATCTGTACATGTTGTAATATTTGAATATTGTACATTGTTGAGAGAAAAGAAGAACCCCTTAAAGGTAAATGTACCAGAATATCATCTGAAAGATCATTTCCACCATTGTGTCATGTACTGTCTACAGCACAGTTGATTCGCGATTCTTTGAAGGTAACCAAAGCAATTTCAGGGCACAAAACTGGATTTCAAAGTGAATTTTCTGGTCATTTTTTCATGTAGTTTTAAAATTGACAAAATATACTATCATGGCCATCCATTTCTTGCTTGGGTGATTGGTTTTGTAGTGAACCAAGGACCCCGTTACGAAACGTGGCACCCAGGTTAACTGATGTCTGTGAGGCAAAAATGCGATGTCACTCATTGAAAACGGTTGCTTGTTTTGTATCGTTGATGTGTATGGGCAGTAGCCCTCAAAATATATCAAAAATATTATAAAGAAATGCGTCAAAAGCAGTTACTCAAGAAACTGGATATGATTTTGGAAACGGCCAGACGTTTTAGGTAGCAGCCACTACACTAAGAGACTAAAGAAACGCATCCCATAGCTCATTTTTGGGCTACCTCGAACACTTCAAGGTTGAAATGATCATGAAAATGTGCTAAGAAATGGTAGCAAATGTCAATAAAAGACAGATTTTCTCATACAGAATATTTTCTTTTGTTCTACCGCCATGAAATTGTACTGAATCTTAATTATGTACATATATAGCAGTGCCACGTACTCTCAGCAACGTGTTTTTCCATTTCGTAAGCGGTCGTTGCTATCAAAAACAGTTGCGGATGTCATATCGCTACTCGTTCGACGCCGCAGAAAATTGCGAGTTATTAATAACTGTTCATCACAAGTGACAGTTCAGCCATTGATATCAAGGAAATTAACTGAAATATTTCCCCTTTTATGTTTGCATTTCTGCTTTTCTCGTGCGGCCAGCCTGTTTTCAAGCGCTCTTCTTGTTTGTGGAGTGTGTATTGGATAGTTGGTTGAATATGCCAAATGTAATCTAGAATGTAACTAGAGAGGCCGACATTTGCTTGGGAGCAAATACAGCAATTTCAGTCCATCTCCCTCCCACGCAAAAGTGGACTATTCCAAACTTACCCCAGTGTAAAACTGGCAAAGATTCTCAAATAAATGAATTATATAGTAGCTATGTAATTGAGAACAAAGATGCAAGAACACGCACATTGAATCTCGAAAGCTTTACTAATCTTATTACAGGTATGCAAGTACTAACAATGATGAGATTTGATACATTTTGAAGGTCTTAGGCACATAAAATTGAATGTGTGGGTCATTACACACGACTTACATGCAATGTGACCTCAGGTAACCCGCAATGGAACACCTGTTCCATGGCCAACGGCAGATGGAACACGGCATTCTTTAGATAGAACATGGAACGGGTACAGCACTTTTGGCCCTTTTTTTGCTGAAAATAGCCATTTAAGTCCCCCAAATGAGTCATTTGGAAGTGGTGTATGCTAAATATGTGACTGCTATTCTGTAGACACATGTTCAAGGTACCCTTATACCGAATTTCAGATCATTTGGTTGTAAAACCAGGGATCAGTATCCAAAAATCCATTTTTTTGTCAACAAATGCCCCAAAAAACCTTCATAAAAATTTTTCAAAGGCATGTATCAAAAAAATGAAAAAAAAAAACGCCTGGGGGTATTGGCCCACTCTACCTCCAGGCCAAATTTCAAGTCATTTGGCTGAATGATGGCGGAGTTGAATCCCTTTGACTGTTTGGCAGGAGAAGGAGGAGAAGAAACATCAGAGAACACAATATATTTCATCCATACCATGGTATGGACTGAAATATAATAAACTAGAGCGTGAGTAGGGCTCAATTGATTCTTTCGACAGCAAGGGCGTTCTTCTTAGTGTTACATGAAAATTGCGAGAAAATATCTTTAATAAGGGCCAAGAAGATAAAAATAAAAAAATAAATAAAATGAAATAAAAATATAGATGGTCGGCCCTCCTTCAAAGAATAGAATAACTAGTCTCCGCCAGACAGAAGACGTTTGTTCAAAAATAGTACAATTTTGTCGAAGAGGGGGGATAATTTAATAGTGTAGGTTGGCCACCATAGACCTCATTTACTCCTCCGCAGTTCAAGGGGAAGTGCAACCCTAATACCCCAGGCTCACCTCCACAAGGAGACAGACAACCGGGCGGTCCCTCAGAAACTGTAATGAGCTCCGCCTGTCAGCCGTACTGTTAGATTTTATACATATATAAATAGCGCACATCCTGTTGATCAAGTGTGTATGGATGAGTGGATGGGTGGATGAGTTGTTCTTGGTGGATTTTAATTATACCTTTCGACAGCGACAGTGCTCCCTTCAGAGCTTGCGGTGTTACATGAATTTGTAAGAAAATACGAGAAAATTTCGGGAGAGGGAGAGAGGGAGAGAGAGGGAAAGAGAAGGGAGAGGGAGAGAGGGGAGGGAGAGAGGAGAGAGGGGGAGAAAGAGGGAGAGAGAGAGAGATGGTCGGCCCTCATTCAAAGAATAGAATAACTAGTCTCCGCCAGACAGAAGACGTTTGTACGAATTCTACGATCCGTATTCCCGTAGAAAGGCTCGGTGGGGGCTATTATAAGGCCGGCGGTGGCAAATGAGTTCGCTCCCTGCTCCTTCGGTGGCAGATGCGTTCGCACGGACGAGTTTTGTTCCTACGCATCCACTCAGCAGGTGTGGCCTTTCTATCTCCACGGAGTTAGAAAGTCAGACTCCATGCTATTAGCTATATCTCTAAATAAGGCTGGTGGCAATTGAGTTTTCTCCCTGCTCCTTGGGTGGCAGTTGCGCGCTGCATCCTTGAACAAAATATTCTCGAGGTCGCGTTGGCGTACGTGTGGATATAGGAGATGTTTACACTTTTCGTCTAAAAGAAAGCTCGGACAGGCTCGGAACGGATTCAGAGGTACCTTGTTATTGAAGGGTTAAATGATGTCTATATACCTCCGTGCATTGTGTATTATTTGTGTGTATGCATGTGTGTGTGTATGTGTGTTTTTGTGTGTGTTTTGTGTGTGTGTGTGTGTTTTGTGTGTGTGTGTGTGTGTGTGTTTATGTGAGTGTGTCTGTGTGTGCGTGTGTGTGTGTGCGTGTGTCTGTGTGTCACGGTGTGTGTGTTTGTGTGTCTGTGTGACACGGTGTGTGTGTGTGTGTGTAAGTGTGTGTGTGTGTGCGTGTGTGTGTGTGTGTGTGTGTGAGTGTGTGTGTGTGTGCGTGTGTGTATACATGTGTGTGTGTGTTCTTGAAGTTCCCTCGGTGTTAACAATATGGTTGACCAAAATTGTGGCGAGCTAACTGTGTATGCTCCACCTCTACGGAGGATGAATGATGATGATGATGACCAAAATTCCATCAACTTCAAAATTCTCTGTTTCTGGATCAAAAATCCTGATCTCTGTATTACATTCTGTTGTGTAGGGGTGAAGTTCCCGTTTATACATGATTAATGTACAGTCCCGTCTGTATCCATTAACCTGCAGCTGCCCACTGACCAGGAATTCACAAAACCCGTAAATATATCACGGAGGTCAGAAATCTACTATTTCTTTTTACCTCGTCTTTGTTGTTGTTGCTGTTGTGTGTGTGTGTATGTTTGTGTGTGTGTGTGTGTGTGTGTGTGTGTGTTTGGGTTTGTACCTGTGTGCGTGCGTGTGTGTATGTCTGTGTATTTGTGTGTGCATGTATGTAACTGTTATGTGTGTTTGTGGTGTATCACGACAACGCAAGTAGTTATACATGGATTGTCGTAAAACTTGGTAGGCGGGTAGGTCTCGACATGAGTAGACTACGGAACCCCTTGGCGCCTTGGTGAGGACCTCATTTGCACAATTTATGAGGAATTTAATGCTGGAATATCTTTCGAGTATGATTCATGAAGAAATGCTGGAACAGCTTAATTGGCTTTTGCGTAAACAGCGAGCAGATTACTATTGGACTGAGCAGAGCACTTTGAACTAATGCCTCTGGCTGTTTACAGCTTAGAGGTACATATATCAAACCTTTTGTCAAAAACTTCTCTGTTACATAGCGGATCATAATGACCCCCATCGGGGTCTTCACGCTTCGTTAAAAGTGGAAAAATCTCAAGATTTATTCCAAAGATCTCAATATTTCAGACGAAATCTTGAGATCTTAGGATATGTACCTCAAGCTGTGAACAGCCAGAGGCATTAGTCCAAAGTGCTCTGCTCAGTCCAATAATAATCTGCTCGCTGTTAGCAATGAAATGCATAACACTCGCAGAGACCACCGTTGCCACGGTAGTGTCTTACAGTATTAGCCTCGATTGGCTTGTGCGTAATCTCCAAGCAGATCCCTTTCGGTGGCAAAAAGACTGTATCAAATTGACCAGGCAGTATCCATCAGCCAGAGAAGGTACCACCGACGTTGGTAGCGACAAAAACGGCCATATATATAAAGGTAACGATCATTCCCCCGTAACCTTTGCTTGAAGAGTACTTGTGCGCTGCCACCTACCGTGTTGCAAGCGGCCACTTTGATGCCGGAACTCCGCATCTCCTTACTACTCATACCACCCGGGGCGCTTTTCCTTTAAAGGTCATCGCGAAATCGAGTTTCGGCAGGCTCTGCAGAAGCGGTGCACAGGAAACTGAGCAGCGATATGTCACCAGAAAAAGCCTTTTATCATATTTTTCAAGGTCAAACCTCTTCACAAGAATCATTGTGTTTCAGGTCTCACGTGTTCTCCACAGACGTGTCACGTGATCTCAACAGGCGTGTCACGTGATCTCCACAGGCGTGTCACGTGATCTCTACACGCGTCTCACGTGATCTCCACAGGCGTCTCACGTGATCTCCACAGACGTCTCACGTGATCTCCACAGACGTCTCACGTGATCTCGACAGGCGTCTCACGTGATCTCAACAGGCGTTTCACGTGATCTCAACAGGCGTCTCACGTGATCTCCACAGACGTCTCACGTGATCTAAACAGGCGTTTCACGTGATCTCAACAGGCGTCTCACGTGATCTCCACAGACGTTTCACGTGATCTCAACAGGCGTTTCACGTGATCTCCACAGGCGTCTCACGTGATGTCCACATGCGGTTCACGTGATCTTCACTGGCGTCTCACGTGAGCTTCGTTCACCTCATAGCTCTTCATTTACATTCATGTAAAAAATAGTAATTTGCTTTCCTTACTTTGTATTCATGTGGAATTAAATAAGGTCAACCTGAGCAGATTGCCATAATGTACTCTCAATAAATGTTGCAAGAAAACCCCCCACAACTGCTGTCGTTTGTTTCTAAGACCAGAGCCAATTTGATCATGTCGGAGCCCAGCCCACCCCACACGATGCCTGACGGAGAAACATGGACACCTCCGCAGTTCGAGGGACTTCTCCACTGCGCTCTGTGGCACCTGCGGAACAGGAACATGTCCCACGACCAGGCCCAGGACGCCTGCTACATCTACAAGGACTACCAGGTCTTATAACCTCCCATAACCTCTCATATTATTGATTTGATTATATGGATGATATCCTCTGGGAACCCCAAAAACTGATGCGCGCCTGTGAATAGAAAAAAAATTTTGCAAAAAAAGGTTGCTTTCATTATGAAATCGACGTGGTCATGAAGGTTGAACAAATGACAAAGAGTATGGCGAATAATCTACTCTTCAAATTCATTTCTTTACATTTTCGTCTTTTTCATTTGATTTTGGCATAGCCAATGGCTACAAGTTCTTGTATGTTTTTACAAATAACCTGATTGATTAATTGATTGATTGATTGATTGATTGATCGATTGAAGGTCTTCGGACTGGGCAGCACCCTCGTCTGTCTGCTGATGTCGCTCTCCATCATCGTCGGCAATGTCGCGGTGCTGAGAAGGGTCGGCAGAACTGGGAGACCCCGAGACCCGACCCACTTCGCCCTCTCTCTCTCTCTCTCTCTC